GGGGACCCAAAGGCTCAGCAAGGGGACCCAGGCTACAACTATCCTACACAACAGAAATACAGAATGCAAGCACTGGAACATAGTTGGAACTTGCAGAACAGGCAGAGAGAGAGAGTGAGACAAGAGTAGAGTATATAGAGTGAGCCTAAGAGTACAGGACTACCTAGAGTAGACAAGATCAAGACTACTGGACCAGTCTGATCTTGTACACCTATATATACTAAACTACACAAGAGCACTCAGGGAGCATGAGCCACTAAGAATGATGAGCCACAAAGAATGAAAGAAAGGAATGTCAAAGATAAAGGTACAAAGAATGAAGGGATGGATAAAGGGTAAGAGACTATAGAATGATACAAAGAATGAAGGGGTGGTCAAAGGAATGGAATGATGAAGTAAGGAAGGGTAGTAGCAAGAGTCAGTACACATATAGTTCATAGACAGTGCCCCTGAGGGACAGAAGTCCCAAGTTCTAGTACAGAAGGGTGTGGAACCCTCAGAACTAAAGGTACAAGAGCAGAGAACTATAACATCACCCCTCCTCTAAAACCAATCATCCTGATTGGTGAGCATTAGGCTCAGTCAGCAGCTTGGGCATAGGTTAGAATGGTAGGGTTTGGAAATCTGTAAGGTGGAGTTGACACAGAGCACTCAGATAAAGTTGATAGAAGTCTCAGATTGCCTTAGCAGTATGGGTGAGATTCTCAGCAGGTTCCCAAGTGTGTTCTTCAACTAGGTATCCCTTCTAGTGAATAAGGAACTTGAGCTTTCTGCACACCAGCTTAGCATCTGCTATGTATTCTACTTTGTATTCTGGTTCAGAACTAATGAGTTCTGGTAGAGGTAGTAGGGGTCTTTGTTACAAAGGAAAACCTGGATTGTAGTATCAAGACAGTAGAACCTTGTTAAACACTAGGTGTATGCACTTCCATGTTACTAGAAGTTGGAGTTTGTAGACAGAGGCACCAACCTTCTTTTCAATAACAAAGGGTTTAAAGCACTTGTTGTCCAACTTCTTCATTAGGCAATCTGTGGTCAGGTTAGTAGCTTCCAGCATAACTTTGTCACCAGGCTGGTAATCCTTGGCCACAGACCTCTTCCAATCATAGTTCTGCTTCATAACCTGTGCTACCTTTTCCAAAAGAGCTCATGTGTCCTCTCTGGTTCTGTGCATCTGTTCTACAAAGTCTGTTACAGATTCAGAACTACTGTTCCAGTTCAGAACTGTCCCCTGGTACAGATGTCTCTTATGATTGAGGAAGAACAGGGACTGTCCTGTTGTAGAGTGTTGCTAGTTATTGTACACAAATTCTGCCAGAGCTAGCCATTCAGACTAATCTGATTACTGATGATTGATGAACATCTGAAGGTAGAGCTCAATCTCCTGATTGACTCACTCAGTTTGACTGTCAGTCTGTAGGTGATAGGTAGTAGAAGGGTTCCCTTGAATTCTGAGAAGTATATACAAGTCCTGTATGAATTTCAACTCAAATTGTGGTCTGCAATCATGAATGAGCTTCTGAGGGAGTCTGTGTAACTAGAAGACATGATCCTAATAAATGTACACTATGCCTTCAGAAGTGAGTTCTGTTCAGGTCAGAACTGTATAGACTTGCTTAGAGAATCAGTCAACAATCACACAGATAGTATTGTAACCCTGAGACTTAGGTAGCTCACTAATCAGGTCTACTAAGACTTCTTCCTAAGGGTGATCTGGGATTCAATACAGATGTAGGGGAGCCCAAACCCTTGTCCAGTAGGCCTTAGTCTGTTAGCATGTATTATAACCAGTCATGTACTTTAGGATTTCTCTCTACATTCTGGGCCACCAGTAGTTCTGAGTAATGAGTTCCTACATTTTGTGTTGGCCTGAATGTCCTACAGTTAGATTGTTGTGATGAGCTCAGACAATGTCCTCCTACAGTTTCCAATCCTTCAGAACATACAGTCAGCCTTCCTAGTAAACCTGTCCATCCTCATCCTCCTCCTAATCCCTAGCCTGTTTCTCCAGTTGCTTCACTACAACCTGGTCCTGTATGTGTCTCAGAGCTTACTGTATGTAGGTGACAAAGTCAACATTCTCAGATTTGAGTTGGATCTCTTGGATTGTCTTGGACACAAAACAGGAATTGTCTAGGAGAACAAGATTTTCATTATCATTCTCCCCCCTTTTATGACCTGCTTGTCTCAAGAGTAAATCAGCTTTTGTCATTTGTGTTCTAGGTTTGTAGGTCAGTACAAAGTCAAAGTTCTACAGTTCTAACATCTAGCAGGCTTAGTAGTAGTTGAGCTTCTGAGGCACCTGGAAGTACTAGAGATTAAGGTGATCACTCCAAATCTTAAACTTCTGTATAGTACTAAGGAGATATTGACACTACTCCTCTAGGGAACAGACAATTACAAGGAGTTCCTTGTTATAGATAGGGTAGTTCTGTTCTGTTACAGAGAGGGATTCTGATCAGAACACTATTGGACACTACTTTCCATTAATGAACTAGGACAGTACTGCTCCATTTGCAAAGTTGGAAGAGTCAGCTTTGACTCAGAACTTGTTTACAACTGTCAGAACTACTAATACAGGCTTGCTAGTGATGGCCTACTTAAGGGACTCAAACACAGACTGCTACTGATCATCCCATTACTAAGGAACATCCTTGCTGGTGAGATTGTGAAGGGGCTGGGCAATGGTACTAAAGCCTTGAATGAAGTATTGGTAGTAGTTTGCAAACCTAAGGAATGCTTGGACCTGTTTCAGGTTCTAAGGTTGTAGCCAGTTCTGAACTACAGTCACCTTTGCTGGATCCATACAGACCTCTCCTCCACTAATTACAAAGCCTAGATAATCTACTGACTCCTGTACAAAAGAGTACTTTGCTTCTCAGAGGAACAGTTTATTATCTTAGAGCTGTTGTAAAACTACTCAGATTAGTCAGTAATAGTACTCAACTGTCTGGGTGAAGATCAGAATGTTGTCCAGATACACACTAATGTGTCCTGAGTCAATCAGATCTGTAAGAATGTGATTCATGAATGACTGGAATGTTACAGGCAAGTTGGTTAGTCTAAAGAACATTACAGTTAGTTTGTACAATCTGTGATTGGTTTAGAATGTAGCCTTCCACTCATCTCTGTCTTGGATCCAAATATTATTGTATCCCTATCAAATGTCCAACTTAGTGAAAACCCTAGATGTATACATCTTATTAATGAGCTCCTGAATCAGGGGGAGCAGGTACTTGTTTTTGACAGTACCCTTATTGAGACAACAATAATCCTAGACTAGACAGAGCTTCCTATCTTTCTTTTTGACAAAGAAGAAAGGGGAGGCTATAAGGGACTTTGAGGGTTGGATCCAGCTGTTCTAAAGATTTTCCTAAAGGAACTTGTCAAGCACCTCCTGCTTGTCTCTGTTGAGTAGGTAGACCTTGTAATCCTTGGGTTGGAAACCCTTGGTCAATTTAATTGTATGGTCCTAAGGGTGGTATTCAGGAAGCTGGTCAAATTCCTCTTCACTAAAGACTTTAGGGAACTCTCAGACAAAATCTAGTAGGCTGGGTCTGTATACATTCTAGAGTAGAGTTGTTCTGAGAGGGTTCCAGACTGGTTCTGTCTCAGACATTCTTCAGATCAACTCTATTCTGCCTTGACTAGAATATGTATCCACATATCTATCCTAGTCAAAGAAGAACAACTAGTCACCTT